GAGGGCACCCGGCAGCCGGGCTGGGGGCGGCGGAGGCCGGATGCGGGGTGACAGGGTCTCCGGCGGGACGCGGGGACCGGGAGGCATAGGGACCCCGGCGGAGGGCAGAGACCCGGAGGGGGAGCAAACCCCGAGCCGGTGAAGGCTCCGGCTCCGCCACGGACGCAGCTGCCACCTCACGCCGCGGCCCGCCGCTTCCTCTTCCGCCGCTGTCAGTCACCCGTCTCTATGGTAACCGCATCCGGCCGCTCGCTCCGCCCGCGCCCTCTCTATGGTCGCTGGCATCCGGGCAGGGGTAAAGAGCCGGGGTTCGCCGACGCCAATCCCAGGAAACCCGAACTGCACCAGACACACCCCATGCTTTCCCTCAGCGTCTGCTCTGGAAAGGAAAACACCCACCTCCTCCACGAGCACGCTTCTCCCCATCGGTTTCGCAACTCCACTCAGTTGCTTAAGAACTGTTGGTTGTTTGCCCCCTAAAGTTCAGGTGTCCCAGTGAGTACTTTGGGGGTAAATCCCGGGTGGATGAGAGGGGCATGGCCGCACCCTTTGGCTGCTGAGAGTGAAGAGCGGCAGGTGGAGAATAAAACTTTGGCAGAAATCACACACTGTGATACCGTAAGTACCACTGCAGAAAAGTGCAGACTCCAGTGGGAGTGTGATACCGTAAGTATCACTGCAGAAAAGTGCAGACTCCAGTGGGAGTGTGATGCCCTAAGTATCATTGCAGAAAAGTGCAGACTCCAGTGGGAACTGAAAGCAGGAAGAATTAAATTCGATCGGGAACGTGGGAACGATGCGATCCAAAGGTTCGAGGAAGAGTTGCCCGGACACAAAGCTGAGTTTTCCAGGCAAAGAGCACGGAGGCCCTGAGAGAGAAAGGCTGCGATCCACGAAGAAAACTGGAAAGGCCAGGGCACTAGAGGCTGGTGAGGGGGCATTGCCCAAGGTGAGAAAGATTAGGCGACAGGCGGCTCCTCAAACGACCGTAGTGGGCTCCTGACCGCGATGGCACCTTTCCTGAGGGCCAGTTTGGAAACATACAGAGGCAACTGACTTATCAAACGGTGGGATGGAGGGTATGGGCGCTCGTTGTCTTGCACACAGGAAAACCAACCTGATCCCACGCACCCTGCAGATGTCTTGCTGGACATATAGATGAAGAAAGGTTGTTACACCCACTTTTTTTGTGTGCTGGGAATCGACCCCAGGACCTTTCCCTTGCCAGACAGGCGCTTATGCCACTGAGCTGTGTCCCCAGCACCACACCAATGTTTTATATATTAAAACTGAGCTACTTTTACAGGATTGTAATATGTGAGTTTTTCAGGAATGTAACACATAAATGGAAGGATGATTGTACTTTGTTACATTCAGGAATTTGCTAAGTGCTAATCACCTTGTTAGAGAACTTTATCGCTGCCTACAGTGTCACAGTGTTCAGAATACATTTGTATTGTCACATCCGAGGTGATTTTACATATAGGTGCAAACATCTAATTACATCTTTGAGCAAACTGAAATCACATGATTACTTTATTAAAAAGGATTTCATTTTATTACTTCTTATGGTTTAAGATACCATAGGTTTTTGAAATTGTGTAATAACACACATCATCTATAAACTTCATTTCAAAATAGTAAAGGAAACTATTATAAAAATATTATTAAAATGAAGCATAAGGCTGGCAAAGAATGACTATTCTAGCTAGGTATTGTGACACATGCCTGAAATCCCAACACTTGGAAAACTCCGTGCTTGGAAAACTGAGGAAAAAGGATGGTTGTGAGTTGGATGAAGAGTTGGATGAAGAGCTACATAGTTCAAGGCCAGCTGAACTTCTTTTTTGTCTTTTTGAGATAAGGTTTCACTATGGAAACCTTAGACTGGCCTTGAACTCACCTTGTAGCCCAGTCTGGCCTCAAACTCACAGTGATCCTCCTGCCTCATCATCCCGAGTGCTGGGATTACAGGTGTGAGCCACCACACCTGGCTTGTTTTTTTTATTTTTCAAATTTATTTATTTATTTTTGTCTTTTTGAGACAGGGTCTCACTATGCAGTTTAGGCTGGTCTTGAACTCACTTTGTAGCCCAGGTTGGCCTCAAACTCAGCGATCCTCCTGCCTCAGCCTCCCGAGTGCTGGGATTACAGGTGTGTGCCACCATGCTTGGCTGAACTATTTTTTTTTTAAACCAGCATACTAGGAGTCTATAAGATAGAACTCACCTGATATATGATCCACTGGAACTGTTGTTACTGTGTTTAGGTCTTCTATTTTCAGTTAGCTGAGTACTGATATTTGCAATTGGATCTTTGCTTTGCAACTAAAACACAGTAGCTGGTAAATGAAGGATTTCCTAGAAAAGACTGGGAAACAAACTAGAGAAAGATGACTTCTACATCAGTGTTACCCTATAGAAATATAATGCAAGCCACAAATGTGAGCTATATATGAAATTTAAAATTTTCTAGTAGCCATATTTTTAAAAAAGTAAATCGGTGGTATTAATTTTAATATCTTATTATTGATCTCTCCAAAATATTATTTTCAGCATGAGATCAATATGAAAAATTATTGATGGTATGTTTTACATTTTTTCACATGCAGCCTTTGAAATCCGATGTGTATTTTACACTTAGAACTTATCTCAGTTTGGACTATCTGGCTTTCAAGTGTTCCATAGCTACGTACCCCTACAGGCTACCATACCAAGCAGTATGGTTTCAGACCTTCTCAGTTCCTAAGTTCCTAGGTAACTCGAGGAGACACTGCCTACTGTTTCTTCATATTAAAAAAAAAAAAAAAAAGTCTTTTTCTCCTCCTGTCTCCCGGCTCACCTCTTTTCCATTTATTTTTTTCCATTCCTTCTCCCCTCACCTGCAGTTCTTTTTCCTACAAAAGAGCTAAGGCCTGGGTGGGAACCGCAGAACTCCTGAGTGACCAAGTTTCATAACCCATTTGCTATGCTGAGGGAGATTCTCCCCAGGAACAGATTCAGTCATAGGAAATTACGTATGTGGTTGGCTCTTACAGACCTTCAGAGGAGTGATGTGCTGGTCTTTTTACACAGCTGGAGTTCTGGAATCCAGAGATGCTAGCTTCAAATGCTGGTGCTGTCTTCTACCACCAGTACTGTTTTATTAACAGCTCTGTGCCTTAGTTTTCTAACATATGGCAGACAATGTTCCCAGGAGCATCAGGTGCCTGGGTGAATGATTTTTACGTGATCCACCGTCATATACAACTCACTTTCTTTATACAGAAAGGCCTTATAGTCAGTGAACTATAATTAATAGTCTCATATCTAAAATGTTTTGCCCATGGTAGATACTTAATATTTGTTAAATGTATTAAACTAAATAAACATCTAGTGTATCCTTAGGGAAGGATTCTACAAGTAGCAGGAACAGCCCGAAGAAAGTGTAGCAGGGGATATAGCTCAGTGGCACAAGCACCGCAAGGTCCTGAGTTCGATTCCCTGTACCAAAACAATTTTTTTTCACAGAAGAAAGTGTAGTAGAACTCAACTGGCTAGTTAGACAATAAGAATTAAGCTCTTTGACCTTTTAACAAAGGTGAGGTAAATACTGCACTATTGAAACAGTTGATTGTGTGCAAACTGAGCTGTAGTCTCACAAACTCAAAGAAGGGAAATCAAGGACAAGAGGAGGGAGTTAGGCAAGTGCTTTTGGAAATAGTAAGAGAAGAAATAGCTCCTGTTACCAGGTGGGGATTCCAAGTGGAAATCCAAATTGTCTTGTTTGCCCTGTTTTTATATAGATAAGGAGAGCATAGGTAAGAGCTCTTTGCTTTTCTAAGGGTCCCCCAAGTTCAGACCTGAAGAGGGAGGAACAGTCACCTAACTTAGCATACTCTGCAAAAGAACCTTCTTCCAGGGAGAAAAGGTCCTTATCTCTCCATTCTTACCCTGTATCCTCTTTCCTGTGCTGACTGCTTATTTATAAGCCAATTAACTGGGGCTGGGGATTTAGCTCAGCGGCAAAGCGCCTGCCTGGCAAGCACAAGGTCGTGAGTTCGGTTCCCGGTACCGGAGAAAAACCAAAAAATAAAAAAATAAAAAAAATAAGCCAATTAACTAAACTGTCTATTACACTGTCATTTTCATTTTACAGAGAAAAGTATGTACTTCACCAAGGTCAGACAGTATGAATGGACTCTGAGTGGGGGACCTCGGGCTTGAGTGTAGCCAGTATGCCCAGAGCTAATGCTCTTGATGATACTGTGCCGATGGAGGTCTCCACCTCAATACTCGAACAACACACAGAAGTCACTTCTTTTATCACAGTCTGTTCACTTTTTTTTTTTTTAACTGTCTTTTTGAGACAGGGTCTCACCATGTAGTTCAGGCTGGCCTTGATCTCACTTTGTAGCCCAGGCTGGTCTTGAACTCGCAATGATCCTCCTGCCTCAGCCTGGCAAGTGCTGGGATTACAGCCTGGGCCACCTCAGTCTGTTTACTTTTCAAAGTTCCTTCTTCCTCATGAACCCTTAGGTCAGGGAGTTACTATTGCAACTCTATCTCAGTCTGACCTATAGGAGATACTTAATTGGTGGAGGATATTCTAGCAAAATGAACAAAGATATGAAATGTGAAATAGTATGGTTTATCTCTGAAGTATAAGTAGGTAGTTTACCGGAATACTAAGTTAAAGGAGGAAAACTATTCTATTACGCAAGGAGGGGTGAGTTTGTGTTTGTTACAGGAGCTGGGCAAAAGGTGTTACTTTTAGACAGTGTGCTTAGAGAGGAGGTAACAGTTTCTCTTGCCTCCCTGCAGTGTCACAGGTCCTGAAGGGCTGACGGACAGGAGCCTGTAAAAGTAGCAAAGATCCTAACTAGTCTACCTTGTATCTGAGGCTGCAAGTTTGAGGTTTTGTGATGTGAACTTTGTTAAAGAGACTTTAAACAGCAAGACTCAGAGTAACAGACAAAGCTAAACTCATCAAAGGGGTCTTCGTACTGTAGGCTCTTCCCACTAAAGCTACAGAGCTTCGATGGAAATGTAACACTTCGGGAGCGGGTAAGCTAAAGGGCCCACGTTCAGGAACAACGTTTGGCACCTTCTAAAAGTTTGATTAGCCATGGACCAGACTAAAATTTCGGTTTCAAGAAACGAAGAGGCCTTTTTTCCCATGGAGGAATCTTACTGGCATCATCCGAGGCGCGATGCGCTGCTTTCCGGGACCTCTCTGCTAGCGCCTCACTCTTCCTCCTCCTCCTTCCACCTCCACCTCTCCCATTGTTCCGACCCATTCTCCCTGATGCATTCTGGGAAGTGTAGTCCTACGTTCTGCTGGGCTGACCGGTTGAGCAGCCCTGTAAACTTACTACGTATTTCCATACTGCTCAACAGCTCGTCAAGAGGTGGAGTAAACCCCACAAAGCCCAGCCCGCTTATTCGAGGAGCAATCTGGGATTTGCAGTTTCTAGGGCTTGAAGCAGACCTGCTGGCAGAAGACTATTAGACTCTAAACCTATTCCTCTCAATTCTCGCGCGTTATGATGACATCACCAGGACCCTCGCAGGCCCTGGGATACGTGGTAGTTCTACAGGAGGGTCCCGCCTTTGGTTAGCGCAATTTAAGGACTACAATTCCCAGACGTCATTGCAGCGGCGCGCTGAGAGCCGCCCAAGGCCGTGATTGGCTGGTGAGCCGGCCGCACGCGGTAGAGCTCAAGGAGCAGCTCTGTTGCGACAGAGGCCGAGCGGCGAGGCCGGGTGAGTTGGGGAGAAGAATCGCCGGCGGCTGGAGTGGGAGGTAGACGAGAGGAGGAGGGAGGGACGGGGTCGGGATGGAGAGGGCTGCTAGGGAGAAGAAAGAGCCCAAGGAGAGAAGCTGACGCGCGGGGTAGGGGGAAGCTCAGGGGTGGCGAGTGTGGGGACTCCGGGAGGGACTCCCCTGGGGGAGGCCGCGTGCGTCCGGGGGAGAAGCTGGGCTCTTCGCCTAGGGGGTGTGAAGGGACGGAGGAGAGGAGGCTTGGGACGACCGGAGGGAACCCGGAAAGTGGGGCGGCCCGTTGAAGTGCGGAGCGCCAAGTTGCGGGGAAACCGGAGACGAGCCTTCAGCCAAGGGGCAGAAGCTGGTCCCCGCCCCGGGCCCTGGGAGCAGGAGCGTTTCAGAGTGCGGCGGCCCTGGGGATGGGTGGACGGGGCCTGGGGGAAGAGACGTGCCGGTTAAGAGGGCGACTGAGACCCAGAATTGGCGCAGGAGACCCTGGCAAAGTTGGCAGAGCCCGGGCAGCAACAGAGCGGGGCATCTGAGGCTTGACGGGAACAGGCGGAGGGATGCAGCAGGGTGCGGCCTTCGCAGCAGTAAGTTTGGAAGGCTGGAGCATCTGTTTGCCTCGCTTCAGACTCCCCGAAAGGCCAGCGAGCGCCCCTGTGGTTCAGCACCATGCCCTCTGATCTGGCCAAGAAGAAGGCAGCCAAGAAGAAGGAAGCTGCCAAAGCTCGACAGCGGCCCAAAAAGGGACACGAAGAAAACGGAGATGCTGCCACAGAGCCCCAGGTGGCCGAGGAGAAGAACGAGGAGGCCAATGGCAGGGAGAGCACAGGTGAATTGGGGCAGGGAGTTTCTGAGTCGGTCTGGAGACGTAGAGCCAGCGTCAGGGTCTGCACGCTGGGCAGTGAAGATTTGTCTGCTGCCCCTGAGCTCCTTCCCGGTGAACCTGGCCCCTAGAGTCGGAGTGTGTGCCGCCCTTTCACTGATCCAGGAGCTCAGCCCGAGCGGCAGGCAGACACGGTCTTCGTTGAGCTCCCCTCTTGGGCTACACCGGGAGGTCAGTTTTCCGGCCGGTTTGAGTTTCCATTCCTACACTCGGGGAGTGTGCCGGGTTCTTGCATTGGATAGTCTTGTCACAAGGTAATGACTGTAGTAACAAGGGTAACGAATTGTTTTATGGCATTTTCCTGGGAAAAAGCTGCCCTTCTGTTGCTTATATTTTGTGATTTTTATTTTTACATTTTTTGTGTGTGAGACAAAGCCTCACTAAGTAGTGCAGGCTATCTTTGAACTCACTGTGTAGCCCAGGCTGGCCTTGATCTTGTGGTGATCCTTCTGCCTCAGCCTCCCAAGTGCTGGGGTTACAGGCATGTTCCACCACACCTGGCTTGGGAAGTATTTATGGACCATTTCTTTTCTTTTCTTTCCTTTTTTTTTTTTTGTCTTTTTGAGACAGGGTCTCACTATGTAGTTCAGGCTGGCCTTGAGCTCACTTTGTAGTTCAAGCTGGTCTCAGATTTGCAACTATCTTTCTGCCTCAGCCTCCCAAGTTCTGGGATTACAGGTGTGTGCCGCTGTGCCTGGCTTGAACATTTCTTAAGTGCTAGACACTAGGTACTATAAACACAGTCTGCTCTCTGGTAATTTACAGTGTGGATAGGGAAAAATGATAGTGTGGGGAAAAGATTCTTTTTCATTCTAATCTCAGCCTCTCTCCCGCCCCTGAGAAGTCTCTACACAGTCCTGCTCCATCTAGACCAGTGATGATGAACCTTTTAGAGCTTTCAGTGGTACAGACAGCCCCCTGTAGCTGGTGTGCCACAGGTTTGCCATCACAGATCTAGACCCTTCATTGTCCCTCGAATAGTTACATTTCTGTCCTTTTATACACAGAGTTCTAATAGCACAGTGTTTGTGCTAGCTACATCTGACAGTTCTGCTAAAGCACAGATCAAAAGAAAAAAGCACAGATCAAAAAAAATATATATATATATATTGGGAAAAAGCTTTTCCCAATCAAACTTGACCTCAGTAATATTCCAGTTTACCATACTCAATGCTGTTAGTGTTACTTACCTTCTTATATCTTCCTTTTATTCATCTTTTATTCATGTAAATTATTTTCTCTTTGAGTGTAGGGACCGTGTTTTGGGTAATTCCTTTCCTTTTTTTTTTTTTTTTTTGGTACTAGGGATTGAACCCAGGTCCTTCACACTGAGCTACATTTCCAGCCCTTTTTGGACTTATTATTTTGAGACAGTCTTGCTAGGTAGTTAAATTGCCCAGACTGCGCTCAGATTTTCCATTCTCCTGTCTCAGCCTCCTAATGTGCTGAGTAATTCTTTTGCTGCGGTCTCTGTTGTAAATAGATACTAAGTAAACGTTTGAAGAGAAAAAGGGAATTGGTAACAAAGTAATAACAGATGGGAAGAGGAGAGAAGGAAAGTTAAAAAAATGCTTGCTAAGAGAATAGAGTGGTAGAAGTTGTCTCTAAAATAAGAATTCTAGGAGAAAGTGTAGTGAAGTCAGGCCACCAGGTGTGGTGGCACACACCTGTAGTCCTAGCCACTTGGGAGGCTGAGGCAGGAGGATCATAAGTTGGAGGCCAGCATGGGCAATTTACTGAGACCCTGTCTCGGAATTTACAAGGGCAAGGGAAGTACCCCGGTGGTGGAGAGCACGCCTAGTGGGTCCAAGATCCAGGCTTCGATCTCCAGCACCAAATAAAGTCAGGCCGTGGGGATATTTTGTTCCTGGCCAGAGTGGTAGAGGACAGAAAGTTAAGAGTGATGGGTGTGAACAAGGACACAAGAGAACAAGACAGAGACAAGATGGGCTAGAATAAAGAAAGAGGCTGCAAAGTGCAGTGTCCAGGAAGCAGCGGGTAGGGCAGTGCGTAAAGCGTGCGAAGCCTCTAAGTCAGCTCAGCGTGACCTGAGCCCAGGTCCTTCAGGGTCTGCCTGTTCACGTGAGGGCTGCGTCTTCTCACAGCCCCTTCCCAAATGGCCTTTCTGTCCACAGAAGTAGATCTGCTGACCAAGGAGCTGGAGGACTTTGAGATGAAGAAAGCTGCTGCTCGCGCCGTCACTGGCGTCCTGGCCTCTCACCCCAACAGTACGGATGTCCACATCATCAACCTCTCACTCACGTTCCACGGTCAAGAGCTGCTCAGTGACACCAAACTGGAATTAAACTCGGGCCGCCGTTACGGCCTCATTGGCTTAAATGGAATTGGTGAGGCTCTTAGAAGGCAAGGTGGAAGGAAGGTCTCTGTTCCTTGGCTCGTCTGTCCTTCAGCAAGTATTTAGCATTAGCTGTGTACAAAGCCAACTTACAGTGTATGTGGGAGACCAGATCTGCCCCGGGAAAAGGAGCTAGCAGTACCCAGCAGTGTGTGGTAGTGCCACAGGAGCGTTTCAAGAGGTGGTTCTGGAGCGCTTGGGGCAGAGGGGCAGTGGTATGGGAACCTGTTGTAAATGAAAACATGTGCATAGCAAAGAACAAGAATTTGAAAGCCGGGTGTGGTGGTGCACGCCTGTAATGCTAGCACTCAGGAGGCTGAGGCAGGAGGATTGCCACGAGTTTGAAGCCAGCCTGGGCTATATAGTGAGCTTAAGGCCAGCCTGCTCCATAAAGCGGGACCCTGTCTCAAAAAAAAAAAAGAATTGAGGAAAGTTGGACAGGGACCCCCCAGGAAGGAGGGTGGAAGGATTTGAATGAGGGAAGGGAATGAAGGTGCTAAAGAATGGCGAGCTCCTGCTCTGGCTGTGAAGAACCGCGGAGAGGAACGCTGGCGAAGTGCTGGTGTCCTCTCTTCCTCCCAGGAAAGTCCATGCTGCTCTCCGCCATCGGGAAGCGGGAGGTGCCCATCCCCGAGCACATCGATATCTACCACCTGACGCGCGAGATGCCCCCTAGCGACAAGACCCCCTTGCAGTGTGTGATGGAAGTGGACACAGAGCGGGCCATGCTGGAGAGGGAGGCCGAGCGCCTGGCTCACGAGGACGGTAGGGCTGCAGGCCTGGAGGCGGGAGTGGGCTGCCCTCCGCTCGAGCTCCAGGAGGCCTGACGCCTTGCGCTCGCTGCCCGCAGCGGAGTGTGAGAAGCTCATGGAGCTCTACGAGCGCCTGGAGGAGCTGGATGCTGACAAGGCAGAGATGAGAGCCTCACGGATCTTGCACGGACTGGGTTTCACCCCTGCCATGCAGCGCAAGAAGCTGAAAGACTTCAGCGGCGGCTGGAGGATGAGGGTCGCCCTTGCCAGGTGAGTGCCTCCCTGCTTCTCGACTCCTGGTGCTCACCGTCTCTGGATTGCTGACCCCTGTGGGCCTGTTTGAAGCTGGGGTCAAAGGTCAGAAAGTGCCACATGAGATGGACAGTGATGGGCTGCCCTTGTGGGCTGGAGTGGGCTTCCTGGCTGTGGGGGTCAGGAGTGACCCCGTGTTGGGTTCCCAGCTCCGGCTTGGGGGATCTTTGGAGAAGCCTCTGGCTGCATTAGTCTGTTTCCCGTTGCTGTAATGAAGTACCTGGGGTATTTGGTGTGACTCGTGGTTCAAGGCCAGGCGGCTGCATCTGCTGCTGACGGTCCCGCTGGCCGTCTTGCGGTGGTGCGGCCCCCCCGCGGTGAGAGACAGCAGTGTCTCCTCTGGGCTCTCCCTTTGCTAAACCACCAGTATTCACCCTCGGGGCTGCCCTCTGGTGAGGTTCTCTAATCCCAGTCACCTCCCAGAGTCCCCCCTCTACACCCATAGTTGGGGGGCGCTGGGGATTTAGCTCAGCGGCACAGTGCCTGCCTGGCAAGCGCAAGGTCGTGAGTTCGATTCCCGGTACCAGAAAAAAGACAAACAAGTAAATAAATAAATAAACAAACCCACAGTCGGATGACACTGCCACCTCTTCGTGCCCACCGGAGTGTGGCGGCCCCAGCAGGTGAGCCTCACCGGACCCTGTGCTGTGGCGGTTCATTCCCTCGTGCCCTCCTGCCTCCCTCCTGGCCGCCAGCCCCAGCGTATGAGGCTCAGACGCACAAGGACTTTTCAGCCTTATTTCCAGACCACATCCTCTTTGATTTCTTTTCTTTTTTTTTTTTTTTTGTCTTTTTGAGACAGGGTCTCCTATGCAGTCAGGCTGACCTTGATCTCACTCTGTAGCCCAGGCTGGTCTTGAACTCGCAATGATCCTCCTGCCTCAGTCTCCCGAGTGCTGGGATTACGGGCGTGTAGCACCACGCCCGCTCTCTTTGATCCCGCGCCGCCCCCCCTACTAGGAATCGAACTCATGACCTCACGCTTGCCAGGCAGGCACTGTGCTGCTGAGCTAAATCCCCAGCGCCCTCTTTGATTTCTTGAGACCAGGTCTCACTACGCAGTTCAGGCTGGTCTTGAACTTACACTGCGTAGCCCCAAACTCGCAGCCGTGCTCAGCCTCCCAAGCACTGGGATGACAGCCCTGGGTCCCCATGCCTGGCCGGGCCATTCTCGTCCACCTCCAAGCGCTGCTCTGTCCCCTCATCTCAGCTCCTCAGCTTTGCTTTCTACCCTACATTTCCCCTTTTGTCTGAGGCCTACGGCCCAGGGTGGTTCCAGGGTTCGGGCACGCTCCAGGCCTGAGAGAATTAACTGCCTGTGGTGGGCAGGCCAGCCCCTTCCGTGGAGCGCCCAGCATACTGAGGTGCGTTTCTCTTCTCCCGGCCCTCAGAGCCCTCTTCATTCGGCCCTTCATGCTGCTGCTGGACGAGCCCACCAACCACCTGGACCTGGACGCTTGCGTGTGGTTGGAAGAGGAGCTGAAGACGTAAGGGGTGGGGGAGGAGGGGGGCGGGAGTTGGCGTCCCGAGGTGGCGTCCACAGAGTCCCAAGACGGTGCCCAGGGCCGCACCGATGGCAGAGCTGCAGGAAGGTGGGCTGCAGGGAGGCCGCGGGGGGCCAGGTGAGCAGGTGCTGAGTGCCGTGGGGTGGCCTTCTCTCTTCATCTAGACTGAAGAATATGAGCTTTTTAAAAGTCTTTTTGGTTTTCGCCCTGCTTGAAATACAGCGTCTCTACTAGAGACTGTGTTTCTTTTCTCAGTTGTCTGTATGTACCTTATGGGAAGGGGGCTTCTCACGTAAGGTCGCCATGGGACGACAGAAAGAAAGCCACACTGGTCGTGGGGTTTTCAGTTAAAGGCCTGAGTGACCCAGTTTGTCCCAGATTTAAAAGAAAGCTTTTTGTGGTACAGTGCCTTGGTCCTTCTTTCAAAAGAAAATCCTCATTTTTTATTGCATCCGGTCCAGTTTGCCCGGCACAGTTCTGGATACACTTAGGTGTGGATTTGTGTACACATTCTCTGCACCGTCGTCAGTCCTGCCATCTCCGTTCCACCTGTTGACCTTTAGAACAGAAGCCTGGGGAGTGCGACCGCCTCCCTGCTCTCTGCAGGGCGCCAGACTCCCCCTCCGGATAGCTAGTGCAGGGGGGGCCCGGGTGCTGTCGGCGTGGGAACCGCACAGTGCGTCGGCAGGGTGCGCAGAGATAGGTGGGAAAGGATGACGTTTTCGGGGCCTGACTGGGTTCCCCACTGTCAGCCATCTCTGGTTGTGAGCACCCCCTGACTGGTTCTTGGCTTTGCAGTTTTAAGCGCATCCTGGTCCTTGTGTCCCATTCCCAAGATTTCCTGAATGGAGTCTGCACCAATATCATCCACATGCACAACAAGAAACTGAAGTATTACACGGTGAGTGGGCTCAGCTCTTCCTACACCAGTCTCTACACGTAGCAGTTCTCTGGAGTTCTCCTTCTAAACAGTCCAGCAGCTCTTTTCTCCCTATTGCTATAAAAAGATGTGGCCCGGGAGTCCTGTTTTATTTTTGTCCCAAAGCCACTGCTTTCAGGCCATAAGCCCTGGGTTGGCAGGCGCTGCGCATGGTGTATGTTTGCCTTATGGCAAAGAAGCTGCCTTCTCCGGTGCCCAGAGGCGGGCCCGCTCCTTCTGCCTTCTCACGTGGCACCTGTTCTGTCCTGTGCGCGTTGCCCCCCTGGCCCTCCTTCCCTGCACAGCAGACTTGAGGTGGGGCCTCCCAGCTCGCCAGTTGTCCCTTGCCTTGTATCCCACCCCCCACCCCCACCCCCGGTATCAGGGGTTGAACTCATGACCTCGCACTTGCCAGGCAGGCGCTTATGCCGCTGAGCTATGTCCCCAGCCCCTGTATTTTCAATATTCAGTAAAACACGTACAATGTGGAAAGTAGTCCTTTTCATTCATAGCCATATTCGCTGTCGGGAGTGTACACACTTGCACAAATTTGTAGAAAGTTTCACATATACATATAGCCTCTGTCATAATTGTGATCTTAATAATCATCCCACTCTGAGGGTTGACTGTTAACATTGCTTTAATTGATCACATTCATCGTGGGGAGCTGGTACGTGTGCGTAACACACTCCTTTCCCTCCCTCTCTTCTGTAGGTTGCTTTTTTTTATTTTTTTATTTACGGATTCTTGAGGCAGGGTCTCACTATGTAGTTCAGGCTGGCTTTGAACTCACAGGATAGCTGAGGCTGGCTTTGAACTCTCAGACCTCACACTCGGGGCTAGTAAGTGCTCCTGCGATACACTTTGCACACCTGCTGCGCAGCCTTCTATCCAGGCCAAGTCGGTGCCTCGTCCCCGCCGGCCTGAGTGGGAACGTGCGCTGAGGCTGGGTTAACAGTGCCGCCTGCTTGCCGGGTGCCTTTCCCTGCAGGGTAACTACGACCAGTACGTGAAGACCCGGCTGGAGCTGGAGGAGAACCAGATGAAGAGGTTTCACTGGGAGCAGGATCAGATCGCACACATGAAGGTAGGGAGGTGGGGGAGCCAGGCTCACGTCCTCCCACCTGCGTGAGGTAGGGGAGCTGGAGGAGCTCACGGGGGCAGGCAGCGGGGCAGAAGAGGGCAAAGAACAGCGGGGTCTTGGTTTGTCACCCTGGCTCGAGGCGGAGTTACCTGGTGCCTGTGCACGCTCCAAGCTCCTCTCTGGTCTCGCGCAGAATTACATCGCCAGGTTCGGTCACGGCAGCGCCAAGCTGGCCCGGCAGGCCCAGAGCAAGGAGAAGACACTACAGAAGATGATGGCCTCAGGACTGACGGAGAGGGTCGTGAGCGACAAGGTGGGGCCGCGGAGGTGGGGTTCGGCGGCCGAGGGTGCGGGGTCAGAAATGGCACCAGACTGATACACGGCCTCTCCCGCTCCTAGACGCTGTCATTTTATTTCCCCCCATGTGGCAAGATCCCTCCACCGGTCATCATGGTGCAGAACGTGAGCTTTAAGTACACAAAAGACGGGGTGAGTTGAAGCCAGGGCCTGTGAGCGTGGGCCCGTGTGGCTGGGAGGCAGGCAGCGTGCCCTTCGGGGGCTGTGGCGAGGCTGCAGGGATGCCAGCTGCTGTGCCTCCTCCTGAGACTCGCACTGGCCTTTGCGGTGCATGCAGGGAAACTGCTCAGCTGGCTGGGAGGTGGATTCGGGGTCGGGGTCTCGGAGTCCTTCCCTCCAGGCTCCACGTGCTCCTTTGGCTCCCCAGTCCCTGGGGTTGGTTGGCAGGCAGAGCAGAGCCGTGGTCTAGCCCGTGTCCGTATTTCTCTCGTGCCCCTAGCCTTGCATCTACAATAACCTAGAATTCGGTATTGACCTCGACACAAGAGTGGCCCTCGTGGGGCCCAACGGAGCGGGGAAATCCACTCTGCTGAAGCTGCTGACAGGAGAGGTACGGTGCTGCGCGAGACAGGGCTGCGTTGCCTCAGGAGAGGGGACGTGGTGGCCGAGCAAGGCCGGAGTGGGGTGGAGCAGAGGAGGGGAGGTCTGGGCCACGGTGCATGTGAGTACCTGCGTCTGTCTGCTGTCTTCAGAGTGTGCAGGGCGTAGGAGCACCTGTGTGTTTGAAGGGGTATCTCTGTTTAGAAAAAGTATGTTCTGCCTGCAGCCAAGTCCCTTCGTACTCGGTGTGGTGCGCTCCGTAGCAGACAGGTCGCAACTCCTTAATAAATTGTATTATGTGTCTGGCTGCCTCGAGGAAGCCAGTTTCAGTATATGAATCTTAAGTTTGGGGGTTATGCTAGGAATTAACCCAGAGGCACTGTACCCCTGAGCTAGATCCCCAGCATTATTTTATTTTTTTAAGAGAAAGATCTGGCTAGGCTGGCCTGGAACTTGTGATCCTCTTGCCTCAGCCTCCCAAGCAGCTGGAATTGCAGGCTTGCGCCACAGCACCTGGCTTCCTCACTATTTTTAGAGTGTGCAGAGTGACAGCCGACGTGGTGTGTGACTGTCCAGGCAGCTGGAGGAGCCTTGTCCCAGCGCGGGGGCTTTGCTGGCTGCTCTGCCTCTGCCCTCCGTGGGTTTCCTTTTGCACACTTCCACTTCCGCCTGCTGTTCACTCTTCCCAGCTGCTGCCCACAGACGGGATGATCCGGAAGCACTCCCACGTCAAGATCGGCCGTTACCATCAGGTACGGGCCTGGGGCCAGGGTCTGGCCAAGCCCACGCTCTCCCCTGGGAATTCAGCCTGGCCAGCTCCCGCCTGCTTCGCCTGAACCCTGAGCAGGTGCCGGGTGGCGGTGGAGCCTTGCCGGGCACTCCTTGCAGCGGGCCCTGCAGCAGGCGCTCAGTCACCTGTGTGCTCCCTTTCTCTTGCAGCATTTGCAGGAGCAGCTGGACCTGGACCTCTCGCCCTTGGAGTACATGATGAAGTGCTACCCCGAGATCAAGGAGAAGGAGGAGATGAGGAAGATCATCGGGCGGTACGGCCTCACCGGCAAGCAGCAGGTGCGTGAGGGAGGCAGGAGGGCCTGAGAGCGGGGACGCTGTCCTGGAAACCCCGGTGGGCGCGTCCCGGCCTGCTGCCTTTCCTCCAGATTGTCGTGGTGCCTTTAGGCGGCACTGTGAGGCTGGAGGGCAGGGAGAGCGAGCTGTGTCCACACAGCCCTGTGCCAGAGTGCGCGACGGCAAGGGAACTCAGCTAGAAAACCAAGTCCTGGGCCCTGACCTGCAGCCAGGGAGCCGCGGGACGGCTGCTGTTCACTAGGGTTTCAGTGCCGAGGGGAGAGGTGTGGATTTGGCAGTGCCAGTCATTCCGCCTCCAGAGATAGTAACCAAGAGGCCAGAGAGGGGCAGGGTGGCACCAGGTGGCACATGTCACGGCTCCCCCAGGTGAGCCCAATCCGGAACCTGTCAGACGGGCAGAAGTGTCGAGTGTGTCTGGCCTGGCTGGCCTGGCAGAACCCTCACATGCTCTTCCTGGACGAGCCCACCAACCACCTGGACATCGAGACCATCGACGCGCTGGCCGATGCCATCAATGAGTTTGAGGGTGGCATGATGCTGGTCAGCCACGACTTCAGACTCATCCAGCAGGTGAGGCCCCACGCGAGCGCACCCGGGGCGGGCAGGTGGAGCGGTCGCGACCTTGGCAGGTGCTCGGCTCCGGGCTGATGAACGGGGACGAGGGCTGTGCAGAGGTGGCTGGTGAGGCCCAGGTCCCGTGGCTCTGTGGGGATGTCAGCCAACTTGGCGTTGGCCCAAATGGAGACGAGCTGTTCTTTCACTCTGGTCCCAAGCTTTCCCAGTCCAAAAATAGTATCCAATGCGAAGGAACGGTGTTAGGAGGAAGGCGGTTTCTGCAGCCTTGGAGAACGGGAGAAGGTGGCGGGGCTAAGGCAGCGGAGCACGAAGCCCGTGAACAGAGCTGGCCGCTGCCAGGGGTCTGGTAACAGGCTGGCAGCAGGTGCTAGCCCCAAAGGCTCCAGAGCCTGCAGGTTATGGTGCCCTGGGGTCACACAGCCTGAGAAGTGGACATGGGCCAGTGAAACCGAGCTGGGTGTGGTTTGGGTGCAGGCCCGGAGGGGAGCGGCCTTTTCTTGCTGGACACCCTGAGGACAGGCCGCAGGGAGGCGCTGGCCGCCTTACCCCAGAATCTGCCTTGCAGGTGGCACAGGAAATCTGGGTCTGTGAGAAGCAGACAATCACCAAGTGGCCCGGAGACATCTTGGCCTACAAGGAGCACCTCAAGTCCAAGCTGGTAGACGAGGAACCCCAGCTCACAAAGAGGACCCACAACGTGTGAGCCCCTGGCCGGGCTTGGGTCAGGAGCACCACCTTCGGACTGCCAGCTGCCACCTGACCAGCCGCTCAGGACCGGGCCCCGGGGCTGCGTCCCACATTGCTGCACTACTGCCCCAGCCCCTCCCCGCCTCAGCCTGCCTCGCTGCACTCTTACCCGCCGCCGCCGGGCAGTACCTGTCTGCCTCCGCCTCTTTCCGGTTCCTTCCATCTGCCCGCCGGGCTCGGCTGGCTGCCCCCCTCCAGCCCTCGCTGGTCTCCTGGCCCCGGGAGAGACGCAGGGAGAGGCACCCGCAGGCCCGAGGGCCCCCAGCCTGGGTGCGGCCAGGCAGGGCGTGGGAGAGCCTCGCGTTCTGGGTTTGGTGATGTTGGAGGAAGCCCCCAGCCCACCGCCCCATTCCTCTCTGCTTCTGGTTTGGAGCTGTAGGCCAGGCCCAAGGCCTGGTCAGTTTTTAAATAATAATTTAACAGTGTAACTCTGAGACCTTCGTGACATCTATAAAGAGTCCAATAAAGAAAGAGCAAGCCATGCTCCGTCCCGTCCTTCCCGGGTTTCTGGGGTCTTTCTCTCCCTGGAGGGCTGACGTCTGCTTCGCCTCAGCTGAGCGGGGCCTGGAGGCACTAAAGACAGGAGCAGCCGTGCCTTCGGCCTGTGGCTTCCTGGGCGGCCGTGACTCAGCAGTCGCTTGTAGGGCCTGTCTGAGCCCAGGGCGCAGGCCTTCCAGTGCAGTGGGTCTGGGGGAGCTGGGAATGAACATTCCAGCAGGTTCCAGGCGGTGCAGGTGCTGGAGCCACAGGGCCGCAGCCACACGTGGGTTGCTGAGCTTGGCCTGTCCGTCCCCTTTGGCGGCACAGGCAGACGCAGATGTCCAGGGCCCAGCGTCTCCACTGCATCGTTTCAGCTCTGTCCAGCTTCCATCTCTGGCTCTGGGCAGCCTGGCCGCTGTGTAGTCAAGTGCTGGTGAACTTTGAGCCTGTGTGCTACCAGGCACACCTGCGGCCAGCCGCACCTGCGTGCGCCCGTCACCCCACCCCTGAAACCTCAGCAGTCGTCTCCAGAAAAACACACAGAGCCACGATTTTTCAGGCCTCATCACAGCACGTCTGAGATGGGGAGCAGCTCCCAGATGGTGTGGAAACCCCCGAGGAGCTCAGGACCGGGTGGGGAAGCGGCAAAATAGAGAGAGACATAAATCAGGCGCTAAATTGTGATGGAGATGGGAGGAAACGGGCGTTCGCATTCTGAACAGCGACCCAGAGGAGCAGGCCTGCTGCCGGCTCAGCTGAGCCCCAGGGTCTCCCTGGATGACCGCTGGACCCGGAGCAGCCCTGGGCGGAGGGAGTAGGGGCCGCCAGTGAGGCCTGGGACCCTGGCCTGTCTCAGTATTGAGCAGGAGGGTCGGAGTGACCAAAGTAGAGTAGCAGCTTGGGTCAGCTCGGTGGTGCAGAAGAAAGCCAGTGGTGACCATTTTCAGAATGCTTGGTCCATAAGTCACACACTCTAAAATACGCAGCGCCTTATTTCAGATCCAGGACGCCCCTCCCACCGCTTTGTAGTAGAGCAGTAGTGGTGATGTTGCGCAGGGTGCTGGGAACCGTGGGCACTGTGGCTTCCACACTCTGGCGGGTGGTGCTTGTCTTGGGCTGGGCTGGGCTGGGCTGGGCTGGCCACCTCTTCCTAATTTGGAAGACCCTCTTCCCTGAAGGCTGCTTTTCTTGCTGCTCCGGGTTTCTCACTCACAGCATTCGGGAACCTGACGTGTTTGTTCACACGTAGGTGCCGAGTGAGAGAAGATTCACGACTCACGACTCACGTCTCCACTGCCTCCATTGAGCAGCAGTCTCTCCGCAGCCGAGCTGTCCATCCAGGACGGCTCCTGCTGCTGCTCTGCTGCTGGCCCGCCCCTCCTGAGCGCCCAAAAGAACTGACACTAGGAAACCTCTACCACTTACAGCAAACATTCTGCGATGCTCGTGGAAGGGTGGAAACGCAATCGCTCTTCCCGGTCAATTGCGGGCACAAGTGAATGGAATGGAATGTGTACATGGCTATGTGAAAGCAAGCAGGGACGGCGTCCTCAGTGTATTCCCACACACAGTTTCATGAGATGAGTTCAATACAACACTTAGAACTTGGGCAATGTTTCAGGGAGTTTGGTGCAGAAAGTTGTTTTCTTGGTTTTACACTGGCATAGGACCATGTATAGATCTGGTGTACCAACATACTAGAGGAACACTAGTTTTGCTATTCCCAAAAGCACTCACTGCAGGAAACCTACACCGCTTACACCAAACGTTCCGCGATGCTCAGGGAAGGGTGGAAACGCAGTCGCTCTTCCTGGTCAGATGTGCATATGAGTGAATGGGGTGGAGTGGGTACATGGCTGCGTGTAAGCAAGCAGGGGCAGGGTATCCAGCTTATTCCCATACCCAGTTTCATGAGATAAGCTAAACACAACCGTTAGAACTTTGGGAATGTTCCAGGGAATTCGGTGCACGAAGTTGTTTTCTTCGTTCTACACTAGTATTACAGAATTACGAGGGAGTATGTTTGGAGCTGATGTACCAGAGTATTAGAGGAACACTAACTTCGCTATTCCCAACAAGCGCTCACTGTAGGAAACCTATACCGCTTACAGCACACATTCTGCGATGCTCAGGGAAGGTTGGCAATGCACTCACTTGTCCCGGGGAAATGGGTGTATGGGTGAATATAATGGAATGGGTGTATTGCTGTGTGAAAGCAAGCAGAGACAGGGAACGCAATGTACTCTCAAACACAGTTTCATGAGATAAGCTCAGTACAACACTTAGAACTCTGGCAGTGTTTCAGGGAGTTTGGTGCAGAAAGTTGTTTTCTTGGTTTTACAATGGTATTACATGATTACATATGACCATGTATAGAGCTGGTGTACAAATGTATTAGCGGAACCCAAGCGCTCTCCTGCCGGGCCAGGCTTTGCTGCCCAACCTGTCTTCTGTGGGTAGCCTAAGCCTCGTTAAACTCTTCTGGTTTTTTTGTTTGTTTTGTTTTGTTTTTCTTCCGGTACCAGGAATCGAACTCACAACCTTGTGCTTGCCAGGCAGGCGCTGTGCCGCTGAGCTAAATCCCCAGCCCCAAACTCGTTAAACTCTGCACCATCGACTGCACTGAGCTTTTCATTCCTTCCTCCACTCCTCCCAACTAGATCATAATCCCCCCGACAAAACCAGCTTTAAATCCCGGTTTGCAGTCCCGCTACCCGCACACTTCCCTGATTGGTCAATGTGAGTCAGCCTCGCTCCGGCCCTGTGGAGTCGTGCTAACTTCAGCAAGCGCCCCACCCACTGGGACATAGGTTGGGGAGACACCCAAGACACGGAAGTTCGCCCACGGCACGTTCTGGGTGGGGTGGAGGCCCAGGCCCCGCCCCCACCATCCACCCTAGCCACACCTGGCTGGGCGCCTAGCTTCATAAAAGTGGCTCTGGTGCCCAGGAGGGGCTGGCAAGGACAGGATGAGCGCAGGGCATGGGCAGCAACAACAGTCTAGGGGCTGCAGGAGCCGGAGCTCTAGAGGCAAAAAGGCCAGGAGGCAGGCAGCACCAGGAAACCTCCGTGTGTATCTACAAGGTGCTGAAGCAGGGGAGGGCCGGGAGATGCTGGCACAGGTGCCCCAGCAGGGCACGGGCCTGGGCTCGGGGACTGGGATGGCCCCTCTCGTTAAGAGAGTGCTCCCACCCTCCCACAGCGTCGCCGGGCGCTGGGCACACAGGGAATGATGCCGTCTTAGGTGGGACACAGGCTGAGCTTAGCTCAGTGCTGCACATATCATGGCCCGGACGTGGATGTGTGTCCTGGGTCTCACGGACGCCTGGGACAGGTGCTGCTGGCTCGGCTCTGAGGGCTTAGGGTTTGCCTCCTTATCTTATTTTTATCTTTTTGAGGTGGAGTGTCACCATGAAGTTCAGGCTAGACCTGAACTCACTATGTTGTCCAGGCTGTCCTTGAACTCACAGCAATCCTCCTGCCTCAGCCTTCAGACTGCTGGGATCCCAGGTATGTGCCACCGTGCCTGGCAGGGCTTGCCTGTTTATAGATGAAGACCCTGCATGCAGAGGACTCCATGTAGCAGCTGTCACAGGGTGTGACAGTGGCTTGGCCCGCCTGGGCCACCCTGGCATTGGGCAGGCCCCTGGGCCCTTCCTGCATGGTCCTTGCCCTGATACTTGGTTGCAGATGCCTCTTGTCCCTGCCTGAGAAGCAGGAGTCCTGGGGTTGGACGCCTGGGAAAACACACTGGGTGCCAAGCAGCCAGCTTCATCAGAGCCCCTGGCCTGTTCAGCAGAGCAGGCAGGGCGGCTGTATTGGGGTGCTGGGGCTCCCCAACCTGCCTAAAATTCCTGCCCCTGCAGTAAGTGAGGTCCCAGAATGGGAGCTGTCTGGCGCTTAGCCCAACTTCAGGGCTCAAACTGCGAGAAAGGTTGGACGAGGCTAGGACTGGGAGCAGCCAGGCACCGGGGCGGGTCCCTTTGTAAACGCTCGCCCCAGGAGCCCAAAGAACCAGATGCAGTGGTGACAGAGGACTTGGGCTCACCCAGGCTTGAACAGCTGAGACTTCCGCTGGCAGCGGCCACCAGAGGCCGCGGGGACAGAGCTGGCTGGACGTCAGGAGCCCGGCCTAAGTCACGCTCTGCCTCCCTGCAGGCTTGGCACAGGCCGCCGACAGTCGCTTCGCCCCCACTTTCCACCTGACGGAGCCCACCAGGTTCCCACCAGGTTCCTGACATGTACGCTATCAGAGATCACCCCGTTCAAGGCTTGTGCGACAGAAAAGGAAACAGGTCCAGAAGAAAGCGTCTTTCTCAAGGTTAAATGCAGGAACCCTGTGACCGGCTGTCCCACCCATCGGGATTATGCTCATCCAGGGCTCTAGGATGCAGCTTTCCTACAGCACAGTCTAACAACAGACAGCAAGCCCAAAAATGTCCACGCAGAAAGCAGTGGGGACCGGAGCCCGGCTTCCGCCACTCCACGATCGCGCACACATGCACTCGACACAAAAGCAAGAGGCACGTGTCCCTGACCCCAGCTGTCAAACACAGATGCTCGCGTGTTTACACCAGGAACCTAATGGTGCCACCCTGCAGGTGGAGAAGCTGCTGCTGTCTTTCTTTTTACCCTGGCTATAAGGCCACATGTCCTGTAACGATGGGGACATGCTCTGAGGAACGCATCATTAGCCAATTTCATCCCTGTGGGAACGTCACAGTGCCCGGGCACAAGCTGAGATGGCCACAACCGGCACTAGGCAGTGCAATCTTACGGGACCGCGGTCATATATGCAAAATGTCATTATGCGGCGCCTGAGTGGCAGTGAAAAGAAAACAAAGCCCCCCTTCGCTGTCTGCCGGCCCTTCCCTGACCCCCTGGAGCCCCCGCCTCGGGCAGGGCGGAGGCTGTGGTGCAGGCTGAGTCCTGTTAACACCCTGGTCCTGCTTCCTCAGGTGCACCCCGACACTGGGTCTCTGCCAAGGCCATGAGCATCACGAGCTCGTGAGTGAGTGATGTCTTCGAGCAGCTGGCAGGGGAGGCTGCCCGGCTGGCCCAGTACTCGGACCAAACCATGCTGACCGCCCTGGAGGCCCAGATGGCTGTGTGCCTGCTGCTTCCCAGGGAGCTGACCAAGCAGTCCATGTCCGAGGGCACCAAGGCCATCATCCACAAGGACACCAGCTCCAAGTGACTCTCAGCTTGCCGGAAATAAAGAGCGACCTGCTCCCATGCACTGTGTGATGTGAAAGATGCGTGGAGCTGCGGTGTCGCCCAGGGTAGACAGCTTGCCTGCCTGGCACACGTGAGCCCCGGGGTTCGTTTGCAGTACCACAAAGATGAATGGATGGATGGATAGGCGAATGGGGAGAGAGGTGTGGAGCCAGGGTACCGGCTGGGGCAAGGGGAACTTTTTTTTTGTCTTTTTGAGACAGGGTCTCACTATGCAGTTCAGGCAGGCCTTCAGCTCACTTTGTAGCCCAGGCTGGTCTCAAGCTCCCAACGATCCTCCTGCCTCAGCCTCCTGAGTGCTGGGATTACAGGTGTGTGCCACCATTCCCAGCTTAAGGGGAACTTTCTGAAGCGATCACAGTCAGAATCATAACACGCACTTTTGAAAACCTTGTTTCCTGGATGTGTTCGGTGAGCAACAGGTAACGATGCTTTGTAAGCACCTTCCATTCTCGTCTCCTCTCTGGGCCTGACAGGCCAGTCCTTGGGGTGTGACTTGCAGGCTGTGGGCTTCTGACCGTTTCCCGCAGGCTGTCACGGTATCCTGTGTGGAAGCGCTGCTGAGAGATGCAGCTGCGTGGGTGTTTGTTTTTTATTTTTTTGTTTTTTCTTTTTCAATGTAGGGAATTGAATCCAGGGCATTTGCACTGAGCTACATACCTAGCCCCTTTTCACATATAAGTATGTATTTTTAAAATTTCAATATGGGGTCTCACTAAGTTGCTAAATTGCTCAGACTGGGTTTGAATTTATGATCCTCCTGCCTTGGCCTCCCAGAATTCTGGATGACAGGTGTGTGCCACCATACCCAGCTTCTAATCTTGGAGATACAAAAATGTAAGGTCTGGCCAGCTGTGGTGGTACATGCCTGTAATCCCAGCATGCGGGAGGCTGAGACAGGAGGATCGTCGGGAGTTCGAGACCAGCCTGGGCTACAAAGTGAGCTCAAGGCCAGCCTGAACTGCACAATGAGACCCTAAAAACATGTAAGGTCTGACCAGTTTATAAGAAACCTGCTGAGCCAGAGGTGGTGGCACACACCTGTAATCCCAGCACTTGGAGGCTGAGGCAGGAGGATTGCCATGAGTTTGAGGCCTGCCTGGGGTACACAGAGAGTTCAAGGCCACTGTGAACTACATTCGGGAGCTGAGTACCTCACTCTTCGCCCTAGCTCCTCATTTATTTACTTATTCATAGGCCTCTAGTTCACACTGAGCCTGAAGGCGGCCCTGGCTGACGGGAATCTGCTGCTGCTGGTTAAGACGTTCTTGTTTTCTGAAGCCTGGCCTCCTGGGCCCACCACCTGCTGCAGTAAGGAAGTAAGGATCCCATGGAGGGCTGCAAGGAGCCTCAGATGCAGAGTGTCTCTGGGACTCCAGCACCTTCTGACCCCAGATCCAGCACCCTTTCCCTCCTACCAGCAAGGCTTCCCATGATAATCCCATATGATAGAATGGCAGAGCTGGCAGGGGGTGGGTTGGGGTGCACACCTGTAATCCCAGTGCTCGGGAGGCTGAGGCAGGAGGGTCACCATGAGCTTGAGGTCAGCCTGGGTTAAATAGTGAGACCCTGTCCCAGGGAAAAAAAAAAAAAAAGAGTGCAGGCAGGCCCAGGGCGTAGCTTTGTGGTAGAGTGTGCTCAGCAAGGCCTTGGTTTCCATCCTCAGCACCGGCTCCCCTTGAAAAAGAGTACAGGAAAGGCAAAGTGCGTAGGAAGCTGAGGAGCTCAACACAGTGGTGCATGTCTGTAGTCCCAGGAACTGGGGAGGCTGAGGCAGGAGGATCTTTTGAGCCCAGAAGTTCAACACTAGCCTGTGCAGCCTAGCAAAACTCACCTCAAAAAGATAAAAAAAAAAAAAAAGGAGGCAAGGAAGTTTCCTCTGGTCAAGAAATCACAGTTAGAATAACGCTTTTAGGACAAGTTTATCCAGAGCGTCCCAGTTTACAGGTGACTTCAAATACTGGTGGCTATACTATTCCATTCTCACACAAGAAGTCACCACAGGCTGCCGCACCTTCACCCGTGAGTGCCTCTCTCCTGCCGCTTTTGGGAAGCCCTCCTGGACAGGTGTCCCCAGGCTTCTGTCCCAGCTGTCCCACAGCCTCAGAACACTGAGTGAGAACCCTAAACCCAGGCTGTTCTGCCCTAGCTCAGGACAACCAGCGAGGTTCTGTGGGTTCCACAGTCAGGTCACAAAGGGGAGCGTGAGGTGTGGGCGCCATGTCTGAGGGGTGAGTGAAGGCTGGGGGTTCCTTGGGGGCCCTGAGACTGGGTTACACTATGTAGTTCAGGCTAGCCCAGAACTCCTGGCAATCCTCCTGCCTCAGCCTCCTGAGTTCTGAGATTACAGGTGTGTGCCACCACGCCAGGCTCTGGGGCTTCAACCCCTCACCCCACTCCTTAGCTACCACCCAGGGCCATTTCAACGTCTGTCTCCGACTCTCCCGCTCACAGGGGCCCTGGCCACAGGAGTGCTGTCCCCCAGTCTGCCTGCTCCCCCCGGGGTCCCCAGCACCCCAACCTCATCCCTTCTCTGAGCCAGGCTAGTGCCCACAGAGTCCCCTGCCCGCCCCTCGCTCAGAGTCCACTTGGCACCCCGGGGACGTCACTCCTGCGGGGACCCCCGAGCTCACCGTCCCCCGCCGGTGGGGCGCCCGCCCCGGCTCACAGCGCCCCTGTGTGCCCTCCAGAGCTTACCAGCGCCTCTGGGCGGCCTCCCATGGGACGCTGCAAGAGCTGCTGGGCGGAGAGCAGGCCCTGCAGGACGCCGTGCCCGGCCGGGAGCGCCAGGCCTTCCGCTACCGGCTCGCGGCGCTCTACCTGCGCTACCTGGGGCTGCTGCGCCGCCTCGACGCCGTCTACGACCAGATGGCGCAGCCGCAGAAGCGCCTGCTGGCGCGGCGCCTGCTGGACGGCGTGGCGGGCCGCGTGCTGGAGCTCAAGGACGAGCTGGTGTGCGTGGACCTGTGCGAGACGCACTGCCTGGACCGCGTGCTGCAGGACCTCGCGCTGACGCCGGTGCGCTGCGGCCGGGTGACAGCAGGAGGGCGACGGGCCGGGCCTGCTCCCGGAGGGGGCGGAGCAGTCAGGCCCCGCCCACCGCGGCCGGGGGCCCCGGGGCTGCCCCGCACCGCTGCAGGGCGGGGGCGAGGCGGGTCCGCCTGGGGCCTGGGGCTCCTCCGGATGGGGCTCCTTGCCCAGCAGCCTGCGAGCCCCGCCCTGCCTCATCGCAATACCCAAGGTGATCTGTGGCCATGGCCAAATAAATTCTAGACTCTGCTCTGGAGCACAGAGCTGCTGCGAGGACCCAGGTCCTGCCCCAAGGCTAGGGTTCTGGCCCCGCTCCCCTGCCAAGACGCCCTCAGCGTTTCCCTGACCCGGCTTGGGAAAGAGCCAGGTTTCTCAGGCGTCCTGTTCTGCTGGGGGCGTCTCGGGAGGGCCCAGGAATCTGCAGAGTAAAAGCTCCCCAGTGAGGCGCAGCCAGATTTGGGCCACAGACTTTCCCATGACCCTCCAGAGTCCAACTGAGGTGGGGGGGCGAAGAAAAGCTGGTGTGGCTGTGCATGCCTCTAACTCCAGTACGTGGGAGGCTGAGGCAGGAGAATTGCTCCAAGTTCAAGGCCAGCCTGGGCTACACAGAGAGTTCAAGCCTAACATAAAACTGCATAGCAAGAGCCTGTCTCAAAAGACAAACAAACAAATTCAACTTGGGCCAGAATGGGAGCAGGAAGAAGGAAGGGGTGACCCTTGGGGAACTCCATCCCCTAACCCGAAGCTGGAGCGGGGGGCAGTCAGGTGAGCAGTGCGTGGCCAGACAGCCAGAATCCCGAGCCTGAGCCTCCTGCCTCCCCGTGTCCCAAAGGCAGACCTCGAGGTCCCAATCCCCAAATACTTCCAGCTGGAGCAGCCCAGCACGGTAAAGGAATGGCACCAGAAGCTGGCTGAGATCCTGTCCAGGATGGAGGTGACCCAGGAGGTAAGGGGGCGATGCCAGGCACAGAGGCTCTGCCCTGCAGGGCCTGGCGTCTGCCCAGGAGGCTCTGCCCAGGCTCTGCCCAGGAGGACCACACCCCATGCGCCCTTTTGCGTCTGCCCTGGCTGGACGCAAGCTGTGCCTCATGTCGCCTGCTCTGCCCCCCTGCCCCGGCCAGAGCCCTCCAGGAATGCTAAGGACGGAGGCCGTCATCTTAGTGCAAAGCACTGAGCGCGCACGGCAGGGCCGGCTCCGAGCTGCCTTCATGCGAGAGATCCGGAGGGAGGAGGAGCGGGACCGGAAGGTCCGGGAGGACAGGCGGCCCAAGATCAGTCAGGACCAGGCCGCTCTGATCATACAGAAGGTAATTACGGGTCCTGGAAAGGGCCAGGCTGTGGCCACCTCCTCCAAGAAGGCTTCCAGGCTCAGCAGCTGATGGGATTGCAGGTGCCTGGATTCTGCTATCCCCTGGCCGGTGTCCATGGGGGCCTTTGTCAGTCAGTATCTATCTTGCTTGCTTAATATTTACTCTATACCTCTATCCTCAAACAGACTTGAAGTAGGGTAAAAGTTTTACTTTTTTTTTTTTTTTTTTTGGTACCGGGAATCGAACTCAGGACCTTGCACTTGCCAGGCATGCGCTTGTGCCACTGAGCTCTATCCCCAGCCCTGAAGTGGGGTAAAAGCCCCAGCAACAGACATGGCATTAAAATGAAGATTAAGACAGTCAGACGTGGGGCTGGGGATTTAGCTCAGCGGCAAAGCGCCTGCCTGGCAAGCGCAAGGTCGTGAGTTTGGTTCCTGGTACCGGAGAAAAACCAAAAAACCGAAAAAAAAGGCAGTCAGACGTGTAGGTGCACACCTGTAATCCTAGCACTCTGGGCGGCTGAGGCAGGAGGATCACAAGTTGAAATCCAGCCTAGGCGATTTAACAACTTAGGAAGGCCTTAACTGGCAATAAAAATTTTAAAAGGGCTGGGGATGTAGTTCAGTGGAAAAGGCCCGAGTTCAACCCTTAGTACCATGAGGGGGAAAAAAGGTGAGGGTGGAAAAATCCTTATAGAATAGCAGAACATTAGGCCAGGCCTGGTGGCACCCACCTGTAATCCTAGCACTCAAGGAGCTGAGGCAGGAAGATTGTCTGAATTTGAGGCCAGCCTGGGCTACGTAATGAGTTCAAAGCCAGTGTGGACTACATAGTGATACCCTGTCTCAAAAAAAAGAGACATACAGGAGGTCTCCTCTCCCGAAAACATCAAGACCAAACCATCAAATAAATGCTCATTCTGTAAAGGTACAAGGGGTGATCACAATATGTGATAACTGTTTAAGTTTTATTACAGTAAAAGGCACACTGTCATTAATCCCCTCAAAATCCTCCTCCTTGCTTCAAACACACTGATCCCACTGTTCTTGCTACTTCCTGCAGCAGCTCTGGAAGCCCCCTTTCCTGAGTGTCTTTGTGAGGTGTGATTACAAATACGGCGAACGCTGTTGCCGAGCGCCACCCTGTGGAAAGACAGGCTCATAAAAGCATGCCGCTGTGTCCTCGAGCCCCTCATTCACCGGGTCTAGCACTGTGTGACTTCTGGCTCTTCCAAACTCAAAATGACCACAAAAAGTCAACATTGTTAATCCACTCAGGACATTGAGACGGCCACGAGGGTGCAACCAGAGACACGTGAAGGACTTCCAGAGCTGCTGCAGAGAGTGGCGGGAGTGATGGGAGGAGTGTGATTGAAGTGAGGCGGCAGATTTTGAGGGAGATTCATGTCCCTGTGCCTGTATTTTTTTTCCCCCGGTACCAGGAATCGAACTCAGGACCTTGCGCTTGCCCGGCAGGCGCTGTGCCGCTGAGCTGAATCCCCAGCCCTGTGCCTGTAATTTTTAAAAGTGAAACACTCACCCTATTTTGCCATCACACCTTGTGCATCCTTCCCAAAGGGCACAGAGTTTAATTTATCACTCGGGACACTGAGCATCCCTACCTGCACGTGTGTGTGGATGGCACACCGGTGTCTGGCCAGCTGGGGAGGAGTCCTCGACATAGGACGCACCTCTGCCCATCGTGCTATCTTTGTTGTCAGACGTGAGAACTACAGAAATACACACTGCAGTCTTAGAATTCTCCATCCAGCACATGAATAAAGGGGAAGTATTGTGGGCCATCCTGGGTGGGCCACAGGAGCTCAAGGACCCAGCCTAGAAAGTACCAGAGGCCGACCCTGCTCGTGGGGGCGCTAGCATGGGAATAGGAAGCTCAGGCTGGGCGCCGGCTCTGCCCCCTCTGCTGCCAGCCGCACCTCCCACCCCTGGCACTCAGCTGTCCCCAGGCTGGGTGTGTTTGGGGAAGAGATCTGCAACTGGGATGGGCAAGGTCATGCGCCCAGTTCCCAGGCATGGTACCCTGTAATCCTAGCACTGTGGTAGGCTGAGGCAGGAAGATAGCAAATTTCAGCCCAGCCTGTGTTATTTAGCAATTTCACCATACTCCGTCTGAAAATAACATAGCAGAAAAGGGATGGAGGGAGATATAGCTCAGTGCAAAGGCCCTGGGTTCAATTCTCAGTATGGCGAAAAAACACAACCAAAACAAAAAACCTGTCATATTAACTGGGGGAGCTCCCGCCATGGAGGTGTGTGTCCTGCACACCCTAGACTCCTGCCTCGAGCCTGGAGACCACCAGGCCTGAGCCCTGGCCCTCCACGTCTGCGTGGAGAGCACCTGAGAACCTTGTGTCCCCGCCCAGGTGTGGAAAGGTCACCTGCAGAGGAGGCGCACCCAGCAGGACCGGCGCGCGGAGATGGAGTTCATCGGCATGGTGAGCCCTGCCCAGCGCAGCAGGGGCCGTGGGGTCTTGGTCCTCTGGGCCCAGCGCCAGCGCCTAGCCCCACAGCGCCCTCAGTGCTCCCCTCTCGCTGGGCCGGAGATCCCGGGGAAAGAAGCAGAGGGAGGAAAGCCTCCGAGACGTGTCCCTCATACCCCTCCTCCCAGGGCCCCCTGAGCGGTCTCCAGTATGGGGGACAGTGTCACAGAGCAGCCAGCCCGCCAGCCCTGCCCTGCTGGACGGAGAGGCTGCAGGGTGGCTGTGGAGGGAGAGGAGCGTCACCCTGTGCCCCCCAAGGGCAGATGTGTGGGGCGGGCCGCACCCCAAGCCAAGGCTGTGCAGACCACAAGCTCCCCACTTGCTGTGGGGTCCCCGCTGCCCTCCCCTCAGCTGTGCAGGCAGGGTGGCTGAGTGTGGGCCTCGTGGTGTGAGTGAGTGTGCGTGTGTCTGCGTGTGTCCAGGCAGGTGAGCAGTCCAACCCCTGAATCTGCTGTCTGCTCTCTGAATGTCCCCCGGGGCAGAGACGGCAGGGACAGGAGCACGGTCCCCCGGGAGCCAGGCTGCGGCTGGGCAGACCCGCAGAGGCCGGCTGCCACAGGAGGGGGTGGGGGCTGGGCTGGGGGCCGAGACGGGAGGGAAGGGCTTTTCCCTGGGGAGGCACCAAGTCTTGGCAGGTGGGGGCACCACCGGCCGCTGGGTGGGAGTGGAGGCCCAAGACTCGCTGGGGGCTGGAGAGCTGGACCCCCAGGAGGGAGCGCAGGCAGAGGGAGGCGGGGCTGGGCCTGGCCGGGAGAGGCTGGGGGGCACGGCACGGCGGTGGGTGAGGAATGAGCCCGGCCGCCCGGGCCCATCAACAGTGTGAGCTCAGCGTTTTCAGTAATTGTCTCTGCGCAGAGCGATATTTAAAATACATTTGGGAGCCAATGAGGCGGGAAAGTGGCTCCGAGAGCGGCTGCCAACTCGGCCGCGGGTGGGGCGGTGGGGGCTGGGCCAGAGGCTTTGGGGAGGGGG